GGTAAGGCTGTTTTCCTCCAGCAGATGTTCCGTCCTTCGGAGTCGGAATTTTTCTTCGATGGCTCCAGCCTCAGAACCAGGCTGTCCTTGGGGGTGGGGTGCGGAGGGCAGGGGCGGTCTGACCCCTGCCCCCCTTGATGAGGAGCAAAGAACACTCATTGCCGGCAGGTGTCGTGGAAGGCTTCGAGGGTGCGAAAGTCCCTCCAGGTAGAGAGACAGACCGTCCTGCAGGAACTTCCCGCAGCGCTGGCAGAGCGCCTGGAACAGCTTTATGTAGCTTCTCAGCCAGGTCTAGAGAGAGCGAGGAGAGAACGAAAGACAGGAATCGGTGCCTCCAAGGCCACCCTTCCTCTCAAGCCTAGTGACCTCTCGGACAGAGGGCTAAGGTGGCCGAGTCGTCACCGGGCTGCAGCGGGCCCCACAGGCCACACTAGTCACATCAGGTCCCACTGGGCCCCACAGGCCACACTGGGCCCCACTGGGCCCCACAGGCCACACTGGGCCCCATAGGTCACACTGGGCCCCACTGGCCACATGACCTCCCAGGTCACACAGCCCATCTTCACTTCTGCCCCCCCCCCCTAAACTGAGGGAGCTTTTAAATGGAAGTTCCTCCTCTCAGGCAGGTCGAGCTCCGGGGGGGACGGGCAGGAACGGCCCACACTGGACCCATAGTCACACTGCACGTTCCCCGGGCGGCGGGCAGTCCACACTGGACTCCACAGACCACACAGACCCACAGGCCACACTGGACCCCACAGGCCACACTGGGCCCCACAGGCCACACTGGACCCCACAGGCCACACTGGACCCCACAGGCCACACTGGACCCCACAGGCCACACTGGGCCCCACAGGCCACACTGGGCCCCACAGGCCACATTGGACCCCACAGGCCACACTGGGCCCCACAGGCCACACTGGACCCCACAGGCCACATTGGACCCCACAGGCCACATTGGACCCCACAGGCCACACTGGGCCCCACAGGCCACACTGGGCCCCACAGGCCACACTGGGCCCCACAGGCCACACTGGACCCCATAGGTCACACTGGGCCCCACTGGCCACATGGCCCCACAGGTCACACAGCCCATCTTCACTTCTGCACCCGCCCCCCCCTAAACTGAGGGAGCTTTTAAATGGAAGTTCCTCCTCTCAGGCAGGTCGAGCTCCGGGGGGGACGGGCAGGAACGGCCCACAGCTGGGGGCGGGCGCACGTGGGCACGTTCCCCGGGCGGCGGGCAGTGTCTGCTGACACCAGCATGGGCCCCTCCTGTTCCCACCAGTGGTGGAGGACACGTGTGGAGGGAGAACGCATCGCTGATACTTCAGAATTCCCACTGAGGCCAACACGCCTCTGCCTAACCGGATTCCGGGTCATCGCTCACGGTCACGGTGCGGCCAGCACACCTGCGGGGAAGGCGAGGGGGGGCGGGGACAACCCGGTGCCACCGATAACATAATAAGTGGCAGCGTCCCGCTCGGCGGTTCAGAGTGCAGCCCCCTCGGCATCATGCATAAGCACGAGACTCACAGAGCTCCATCCCCAGCTCAGGGAGGGCCCCTGCAGACCAACCCCCCCACATCCTCCCACACCCCACCCACCACTCGCTGTGAGAGCTCATGCACCCCGCCATTCCCTGTCCTCCGAGTTACGTCGGTAAGGGACACTGCTCGCTGAAGAGGGCGGCCAACTTACTGATACGGACCTTCTCTCGTCATCACAGCTGCCTTCAGGGCAGCCTGTGCCCGTCACCACCGCCTCCCAAGGCCCCGGGTTGGAGGTGGTGCGTGTGTGTGTGTGTGTGTGTGAGTGTGTGTGTGTGCGCACGTTTTAATTCAGTCTCCATAGAGACTGTTAAAACGTGCCAAGGTTTCAAGTCGTCATGGCGGAGTATGGGGAAAAGTTTTCAATGAGCAATAATCGCCCCTTAGACAAGCCTCATTGGCTGCGGTACTGCCACTGTGCAGAGCCTGCTGGAGGTTTTGGCAATAACCATGAGGGGGTCAATGGGTCATTCAATTAAACTATTTATCCTTCGGTGCTGATCAGATTCAAATGCTCCCCAAGCCTCCAGGTAAGTCGCCACGGAAAGCGGGCGTTACGGCCCCTTGGGGAGAACCAAGCCCTTGTGTGCACCCAGAGATGAAGGCCCATGAGGGCGGGCCCAGAGGGAGCCGCGCTACTGGAACACAGGGCCGATCTGAGGTCCATGCAGGCCTGACGCTCGATGACGCCACACTGCTAATGCCCGCCATCCGCCAGCAAGTTAATAGGTCACATCGGATTTGACACTTATGTCCACACGAGTGACCCTGGACACATGAGCGAGCCCCTGCGTGGACGGCGCTGAGCACTGAGGAGCCAGGGTGTGTCCCCTCAGAAACGCACTGCAGGCTCTCTCAGCAGCTTCACTGTGAGGCAAACCCGATCGGAAAAAGGGCACAAGCAACACCCCACCCGCTGCCAACGCTGTGGACTGCGAATAGGCAAGTCCTCCCGTGGCTCCCTGCCCGGCAGCCTTGCTGGCATGGACTGGAGGGGCCACAGCCGCGGTGAAGGACGGGCCTGCTGGTGGGAGAGCGTGGAGCGAGGTGCACACCGTGGGTGGCGCTGCCAGGCCCTGCGGAGCCAGTGGCCGGCCCGGCTTAGTGACTGGTGGTCACGTGATAAACGGGGCAGCGGGGTGTGGTGCCCTGGCTTTGGGGGGGGGGGGGGGGGGGAGCGGTCCTGATTTCAGTGCTTGCTGGTTTCCGTGGTGTAAACACCCAGCTCCGACCCAACTGGTGAGCAGCAGCTCGCTAAACTCTGAACAGTGAAGAGGAGCGGCAGGAGCTGAGCCGCTCCCCACGGGGCCCTTCCCCATCCCGGGCCCAGCTCTAGTCGGGGGGTGAAATGTTGGGGAGAAGCGCAGGCTTGTCTTAGTCACTGCGACCCACTCAGCGCCAAGCACGCCCGGCGCAGCCAGGAGCTCAGGGACCTCTGCCTGAGCGAAGCTGGGCACGGCTGGAAGGTCCCTTCCCCAGCACTGGT